TATTATTATTATTATTATTATTATTATTATTATTATTATTATTATTAATAATAATAATTATATTTTTTACATGTTAATACATTAAACAAAATTCATTTGATTTTTTTTAACATCTGAGTTTGGTTAACCCCCTTAGGAAGCTTAATAAATGTATATAAATAACAGTGTGATATTTGGCTTCAGGGCTGTTTCTCTCTGCCTCCTTCCTGTCCATCCTCTCCTTCTCTCTGTCTTTGACACTGTTGCTGCAGCTCTGTCCTACCTCTTCCTTCCTTCCTTCCTCATAAATGCCTTTTACTTAATGGGCTCAGCTCCCAGAATACTAATTCTGACTGAGATAAGCATCAGCATCTTCCATTGTGTTTGTGAACGCCATCTAGTGGTGATGCCCCTCTACTGCTTTAAAAAACCCTCTGCAGAGGTCCTCAGTTCCTTGCCTCCAGTGAGTGATCGCTGCGTAAAAATGATTTACATTAGTTTGCTTTTGCAGTTAGTGGTGATAAGCTTGATATTGACAGAGGGTAAATTGTGGCAGTCATCACCTCACCAGTCACACATTCCCATTTATGGACGTCGATGTGCTTTGTCACGTTCTGTCTCTCACACACACAGGGATGCAAACACAGCACAACCACCTCAGCAGGATACAGTGGACAGCAGACTGGAACATGCAGAGCAAATAATCAATGGCAGTTAACCTGGGATGAGTATCCTGTTCACGGCTGGCTGCTCTCTCAGTTGCCCTGTAGTATCTGTGGCACAGTAACACCTGCGTCATTTCCAGCAGCTTCAGGAAATGTCAAAGAGCCACACGACAACCAGCGGGGCAAATCAGGCTGCATCTCTACATGCAAACATCCCATTATAGTTGTTAGAGACCGATGGAGGTGGAGCACGTTTGGCTTTTCATCACCAACACATCCACCGTCTACTTCCAGGCCAGCCAGATGTTTGATTCAAGGCTTGTGCATCCTCACCCCACCCTTCTCCCCCATTATTTCCTTTACGTCTCTGTTAGCTTTTGCTAAACAGACTCAAGATGACGTATACAAATAAACACTTCAGGGCTTTTGGAGTGGCTAGTGCAAAGTTTTAGCTGAACTAAGTTGTTCTTCATAGTTTCTTTCTTTATAGAGTTTTTCTAAGACTTTATGTTTGTTAAAAGTGACATAAAATCTCCATGTTCTGAATGTTTATTTATTTATTTAGTTTGTTAGTTTTACTGTAAAGGTTTGTTTTAGTGACCAAGTGTTAGTGTTACCAAATTAAAAAATAAAAATAAAAAGCTTTCAAAACAAGTACCAGAGAAAATTTTGAAAAATAATAAAAGCAGACCAATTGTAAACAAATTATATTACGAGCACAACATACAATTAGCTTAGAAACTTTTTAAATTATTTTAAACAAGCTTTTGCTCTAAATATGATCCATAATGTCATTACAGGTCAGGTATAAATATAAATATATATTTTTAATGTTTCACTGCAGAAGATATTTTTCACCCCTAAATGTGTGTGTTTTTTTAATCTCTCTCTGTATATGTGTGCGTGTATGTGCGTGCGTGCGTGCGTGCGTGCGTGTGTGTGTGTGTGTGTGTGTGTGTGTGTGTGTGTACAGGTGTTCCTTGATGGGCTTCGACCTGAATCGTCACTGGCAGGATCCTTCTCTGATGGAGCAACCCACTTTGCACGCTGTTAAACAACTCATAGTTCAGATGAACCAAGACCCGGTGAGCATGTGCACATGCATGCATGCACGCACACACACACACACACACACACACACACACACACACACACACACACAAGTTCACGTCTTCTATTTTGTCCTCAACATTCCTTTACCACTGAGGTGTCTACTGGTCCCAAGAACATATTTTTCTCCCTGCTTGGTTCAGCATGTTTCTAAAATCTGTGTTTAGGGTCTGTGCACAGAGGAGCACAGGTATGCTCGTCAGCACCTCCAGAATGTCAGCCGTGCTCTCTTGGGCATTCAGAACATATAAGTGAAGCGAGGCTTTGAGCTTTGAGTCTTCAACTCTACTGTAACTTTCTCTCTCTGGTTTCAGTCTGTGAGCCACAGGAATGCTGCACAGGCAGAGCAGGGATTTTCCCTCTCTGTTCCTGATGTTAATTATAGGCAGAGCGTCAGGTTGGTGGGATTATTGAAGGTCAGTGTGTGTCCTGGGAATGCTCTGCCCTTTTGTACACTCCTCTAATCCTGATAAGAGAGGGAGCAGGCTGGGGCGGGACGCGGGGCTGGCCAGAGATGTGGTGAGGCGCAGAGCTGGCATCGGTCGGATTAACCTTTTCCCCAGACGCTGACACACTGATCGATAGACTTTGTCATGGCAGGGTGATCCACTCATGCCTGTCATTCACACACACACGCTTACACACAGTTGCACACATGCTCAGTATAGACAAAGAGCCACACACACACACAAATAAACACAGCTGCAGAGGTGTATACCAAAATGAGTAGTCTAAAGAGGCTGAATCCATATTGTCACCTTTCTAAATTGGTATTTTTCTGATCAAATTATACAAATATCTTATAATTGGCCCCTTTTCAGCAGAGGCTTATAAGTGATAAACATGAAGAATGAAAAACCTACATCGTATAACTTTGTATAATTCACTGATTTTTAATCACCATTCACTGCCATGAGTTGGATTTTTTGCCGAGTAAATTTAGCTCCCATTCAACTCTAAATGAAATCGTATGTTTCTGAGGTCTCTCGGGCTGGTCACAAGCTCTTTATTCCACCTCATAACAAGCAGCCAATCAACATTTGTTCTGTTCCTCTTTTCCTTGATAATTGCCTTCAGTTTTGCAGTTAAATTGTAAGGCTGGGTACCCTCTCTTCCTCTGTTTCTCTCCTGCCACAGCCATTTATTCCCATCAGACAAACCACTTGTGTCTTGTGCTCTCAGATGCCAGTTTCAATGCCAACTTGTTCTGCTGCCCCCTCCCATCAGTGGTCATCCCACACAGTGGGTATCAGGTCTAATGAGGGGATTAAGGTTGAAGGGCTTTGACTGAGAACTTTATTAACAGGAAATCAGCCACAGCCAGAGCAAAACATTTGAGCTAAGATACAATGGTTCATACTACTTCCCAACACTGGTTAATTATAATATTTGCTTTAATGAGGTAAAATGTTCATGCTATTTTTCCATTATATCACTGAAACTGTAATTAAAACTGTCTAAGTAATGATTAGGTAACTTGGATTGGTGAAAGAAGGACATCAAACTTAAGTAGTTTTAGAAATAAGGTCATGTTTCTCAACCTGTGGTCCCTGGTCTCTTAAGGGGAATGCTACAGATCCCATGGGGTAGGAAAAGTTTTTATTGCACATATGTTGTCTAAATTATACCACATTTATAATATCAACAATCTTTCTGAGAATAAAACACATTGGATGCATTTGTACTGTTTGATTTCCCAGAGTGTGATTAACTTAAACCCAGGAAGACTCAACAGACTGAAGTAAAAAAATATATAATATTTACAGGGGCTGACATGGGGGGGGATTGGTAAGCGTCTGTGGAAGCAGAATGAAGATGGTAGGGTCTTCTGGAAGGTTTGTATATTATGGTAATTAGAGGAGTCTTACTCTGGTTGTATGAGCCTGGTTGCTCAGGTTTGGAGAGGACGTTGAGATTTTAGGTTACAGGAAGATGAGTATGGTAGGTGTTTCACAGGTTGGTTTATGAAAGTGTCAGGTCAGACCAGGATTTAGAGGTAAGTGAGAGGTCCAACAAAGTTCAGTCAGGTCATCTGGACGGTTTCTTTTTTTGTTGTTGAGACATTTCATCTTTCATCCAAAGGACTTCATCAGAGAGAGAGAGGGATCTTTCCATTTGTATGTCTTTATGAAGAGGATTGGTTTTAGGGTGAAGGTCCAAGGCAAACAGGCTGGAGGATGAAGTTAAGTCTCAAACTTAAAGAAAACTAGAAACGTATTCTCATCTGCGAGGAGCACAAGGAAAACAAGATTATTTCACAATATCTTAAGTTGCAATAGGGACTCTCGCCACTCACTGAATACCATAAGTATACAACGTGTCGGCGGCGTCCTCTGGCAGCCTTGGTCCTTAAATTCAATAAGTTATCTTTAGAGGAATGAGCCACAGCTTAGGAGAAGACACTTCCTCCCTGCCACACAAGAGCTGCAAAAAGGTGATGTGAACACAAAGAATACTGTAATCTCTGCAACATCAATCCCTGTTGTTTTACATCAAGACATTTTGGTGTTGTAGGGATTATGGCAGGGTACACCCTGGACAGGTCACAAGTCCATCACAGTGGTTGGTTGGTTGGATGGTTGGATGGTTGGTTGGTTGGTTGGTTGGTATTCATTCATTTATTTATTGAACAGCAAGTTTTTAATGACGGCATTAAAGCATTAGAAATTGTTTGTTGTAATCCAGTGTTAATCAGTAATCTGTAATCCTGGGCGGGTTTAAATCTGAGAAGACACGGTGGCAGAAAAAAAAATCTAACTTTTTTCAGAAAACATAAAATAACATCTAGGTTTGAGTTTTTGGCATAAAAAACTAAAATCTTATATCTGATATGTCTCGTGGTCAGTGTAGGACTGAGACCCAGGATGCAGGCAGACACGAGGAGCTTGAATAAACTAAAAGTTATTTATTAAATAATCAAAGAAAAAGGCTGACGAGGCAGCAACAAACACAAAAACTTCTGGAGGGTAGACGCAAGGAGGCACGAGGGAACACAGGCAGGACCGAGACATCTGACGACAGCACAGAACAATGAGCCGACATGGAATGGTGATCAGGAGTGGTTTAAGCAGAACTGAGGGAGAGTGGGAAATGAAAGCACCTGGGATGATTTCTAACTGCAAATGGGTGTGAGGGATAAACGGCTGCAGAGTGACGAGTGGCACGGAAACACAGGGATACAGAGTCAAAACACAAGGAACAGAAAACAAATCACAAGGACCAAGACAAAAGAAAACTCAAGGAAATTAACAGAAAATGTACAGATATGACAATATGTTTCCCTAAACTGACCATATTTACAGTAAACTATATTTTCTGATTTTTTATTTTATTTTATTTTATTTTTTTTGTGGTAATATTCATTCAACCTTTATTTAGACAGGTAATTCCCATTGAGCCTCGAGGACTCATTTACAAGAGAGACCTGATTTCAACAAAGAATGATGACAACAATGGACAACAGCGACAACAATAAACAGTTATAGAATATAAAAGTTCTGTTAAAAAAAAACTTACCACCTTTGTGTTTATTTATTTTTTACTTCCCAGAAACCAATCCTTTAAGTGATGCGAAAAAATAGTTCTTTAGGTTTGCTAAAAGTCTTGTTTTTTCTTTTAAGTTGGCTGCTTTTGATTCAGTTTCAGTCCAGTCATACTTCAATTCAATTTTCAATTCAGTTTATTTATATAGCACCAAATCACAACAGAAGTTGTCACAGGGCACTGAATAGAAACATTCATACCTTGAAAACCGAGAGGGAGGGGGCCAGTCTGACAAGCAGAGGTAACTTGTTCCAAAGTCTTGGTCCTGCTACAGAGAAGGCCCTGTCCCCTCTGCGCTTAAGACAAGATCCTGGAACTGTGCGGAGCAATTGGTCCGTTGACCTCAGGGAACGTGGTGGGACATACGGTTGTAGCAGATCAGAGATGGGGGTGGGGGTGGGGGGGTGGGGGTGGGGGGGAAACTGTTCAGCGATTTGTAGACATACAGGAGTATTTTGAACTGGATTCGAAAGTGAACCGGTAGCCAGTGCAGTGAGGCCAAAACTGGTGTAATGTGCTCTCTTTTGCCTGTACTGGTTAAAAATGGGGCTGCTGCATTCTGGACCAGTTGTAGTTGTGCAATGGAGGTCTGACTGATACCAAACATGAGTGAATTGCAGTAATCAAGCCTAGATGTAATGAATGCATGTATTACTGTCTCCAGGTTATTTTGGGACAATATGGGCTTCAGTTTAGACAGCCGCCTCATGTTTACGTGATTGTTAAGTTTCAGGGAAGGGTCCATTATCACGCCCAGATTAGTGACTCTTTGTTTTTCTGACAGGGTTAGAGCAGAAAGGTCGATGCAGTGGTTTGTGATTGTGTCATTGGGAGGGAACAACATGACTTCAAACTTCTTTTAATTGAAACTTAAGAAGTTTAAAGCCATCCATGTCCCTGATGTCAGCCAGGCAGTCGAGCAGAGGTTGCAGACGTATACATATAATGTTATTCATCTAAGGATCCAAAGAACTGCTTTGAGTTTTCACTTCATCGCAGTCTCCCATCCTAAGCGAGCACAGAGGCAACAGTGGAAAGGAAAAACTCCTGCATGAGGAAGAAACATCAAGCAGATCAAGCGGCCATCTGCTTCGACTGGCTGGGTTTGAGAGGACAGGAAGGAGAAACGAACACCCAATGACAGGTCCAGGATGGAGGCCATCAGGTTTTCTCTAGGAGGAAAGACAAAAAGACAGAAATCACATGTTAAGAAAGAATAATTACAAATACAAACTATTCATATGTATGCAATTGTAACTGTTCATTTGATGAAATTAGGTCAATTTGTCCTCTAGTAGTCTAAGGTTATAGCAGCAAAGGATAAGGAATAGGTCAGGAAACCAAGCTGACTAACTATAGGATTTATCAAAAAGGAAAGTCTTAAACCCAGTCTTAAAACTGGACAATGTGTCAGCTTTATGGACAGAATGTG